TGAAGCATTTTCTCTCTACAAAACTTTCGTCATATTTGTAGTTCCTCTCCTTTCAATCTTTTACAGTAATGAAGACTTTATTAGAAAAATGAAAAGTGGAATGTTCTCCGATTAATGCAGTAATTTGTTAGTCACTGAGGCATACTCGTGACCCTTATCTATTGGTCCTCACTCCTCTCATTAATAGTTATTCAAATGAGGAAGATGTCGAAGCTTGAGACTGAAATTGCAGTGCTACTTATTATAGTATGTATTGTACGCGTACACCCCCAATTCAAAATCTCGTTTTCCTTGTATTTTCTCGCTTATTCAACCTTAGTTGATAATATCTTATCAACGTAAGTTTCTTCGTAGTTGCCTCTCCCTCTTAAATGTTAATTTTTTTTTCTTTTTTATTTTCTTCGTAGTTGCCTCTTAAATGTTAATTTTCCTTTTTTTCCCTTTTTTTCTATTTCCTTAACAGTTAATTTACTCCAGTTAATTCGATGAGGACAAAATAGAGTTGCAGTGGAGTGATAAACTACAAGAAAATCATAAATTTATTAAAAAATATTTGTGATGGATTTGCGACAATTTTAACTTAGTGACAAAATCATCAATTTGAGACGGAGTTGACAGAGTTGTTTCGATTTTATTCTTACATCACAATTTTTCTGGCACATGAATTTGTGGCAAAACTGTAGCGAATTTTTTGTCACAAATATTATTGTTATAGTGTTATAGCTCTATCCTACACCATATACGTATAGAGTTTAATAAAGACACTCACCTCACAAGTAGAAAAAAAAAAGACCACGACATTTAATTCTCTGGATATTATACATTTGTGGTTGCATCAATATTGTTTTACTTTGTTATCTTCGTTTAGTTTAATTTTGTTCCAGCTCAAGTTATATAGTATGTAATTATTTATGAATCAAGAGAACATTCTATCAGTTTTTCACCAGTATATTGTGCTCCACAAAGTATAAATGAGGAACAAGAGTATTTCTTTTCAAGTTTTTCTAGTCCTATGCATTTGGTTGCATGCAAGGTTGGAGCTAAAGTAGCTATGTGTTTGTTCGAATTCAGTAGCTTTTGCTTAAAAATTCATTAAATATGTTGAGAGCTATAGGCCCCACCTATTTGACTAGACTATAGTAAGAAGAGTAGCTAGTATTAGACTATACTATAGTTAGTTGTTGAATTCGTTATAACAGACACATGTATAAATAGAAGCTTAGATAATCAGATCAACACAACATTGATGAATTCTTTTTTGTGCATCACTATGAAGTAGCTGCTTCCTTCTTCTTTCTCTCATTTCCTTCTTCTCACCACCATAACTGAAGCTTCGTGACATGGTATCAGAGCTCGGTTAAATGAGTGTTAGAGCTAAGATGTGACGGATTTCTTAAGCCTCGTCTGTATTTCCTAAATCAAATTGATCAATTGGGCCAATTCTCAATTTGAATCTCACTCCTCACAAGCTAGGGTTTGGGGATTTGTTTGATTGTGCCTTGATTAATTGTAAATAGATGCATTTCTTTCAATTTCAAAAATCTCAGAGTTTCTCCTTCAATTTCTGCAACAATGTTGGTTAATGAAGAAGATGCTGATAATCAGTTCACCACTCAGACCTTCGCACAATCAATTGATCAAGTCGACCATCATCATCATCTGTACATTCACACATACTATACATAAGGTTCAGTTCTCATCTCTATTCAGCTACAAGGTTCTGAAAATCGTTGAAAATCGTGTTGCATGGTAAGAACAAATTAGGCTTTGTCTTAGGCACTTGCAGAAAGAGTAACTATGATGTTAGTCTTCATGAATGATGGGTTAGGTGCAATGCAATAATGTTAGCATGGATTATGAACACAGTGACACCAAACTTGATTAGCATTGTCATTTATGCCTCTGATGCTTATACTGTTTGGGAAGACCTAAGGGAACGATTTGACAAAGTAAATGCATCTAGAGCAGCTTATTTACATAATTAAATTGCTACCTTAACTAAAGGAGTATCCTCTGTATCTGTGTACTTCTCTCGACTATGGGAACTCTGCGATGAGTATGAAACACTCACTCCTCTACCTACATGTGGTTGTCTTGAGTCAAAGAAGCATGTAGAACACTATTAGTTTCAAAAGCTTTATCAGTTTCTTACATGTCTTAATGACTCTTATGAGAATGCCAAAAATTATGTGCTAATGACTCGACAATTACCTAACCTAAATCAAGCATATGCCATGATAATCAATGTAGAAAGTCAAAGGATTATTGGAAAAAGTGTGTATGGTTCTAATGATAACAATGAAGTTGTTGCTATGATGAGTAATAAAGCTCGAAATGGTGGTCACAATGGAGGATTCAACAACAATGGAGGATTTAACAATTATAGAGGTTTTACCAACACTAGCTATTCTGAAGGTTACAAACCTAAGAATTTCTTCAACAAATCAACAATTCAGTGTGACTACTGTAAGTGTAAAGGCCATACAAAGAAAAACTGTTTCAAGCTCCATGGATATCCTAATGATTTCAAGAACAAGAAAAGATGAGGAGGTTTTAATGCTCAAACAAACAATGTGAATCACAATGAGAACAACTATAGGAATCTAGCCTCAAAAACACAAGGCAACCAGTTGAACTGTGCTACTCCAGCTCAGTTCTTTACTCTAGAACAATACCAGTAAATTATGCAGATGCTGAAAAAGGGCATGGATACTAAACCTATTGCTAACTCAGCTACTGCAGGGACAACATGTATACTACATGCTTTCATGTCTACATTGGTGTATCATAATTAGATAGTAGACATAGGAGCATCTAACCACATGGTACATAGTTTAACTTTATTGGATTCCTATGAAGAAGTATCAGAGAAGGATAAAAATAAAGTACATTTGTCTACTGGTGAACAAGCTTCTATTACACACACTGGGATTGATTCTTTCTTCAGAAATAAGAAAATTCAGAATATACTTCATAGTCCAGACTTTAAGTATAACTTGCTCCCAGTGTCTAAAATCACAAAAGAGTTAAGGTATTGGGGAACTCCCAGTGTCTTTCCTGGCTTTTGTGTCTTTCAGGAACTCTTCAGTGCGAAGGTATTAGGGATTGGTAGAGAAGAACTTGGACTCTACATCCTCAAGGCTGCAGATAGACAAATCCCTGAACATCATATACCCCCAATTGTAAATACCATTGTTAGTATAAATAAGAATGTTAGACTGAATAATACAAGTCTTTGTAATGATTTATCTTTGTGGCATAGGGGGCAAGGACATGCTCCTCTAAAGGTACTGCAGAAACTACATAGTCTTCATGAGTTACATCTAACTGATCATCAGTATTGTACGGTATATCCTATTGCAAAGCAATCAAGGTTACCCATTCCTCTTAGAACCACTTGTTCTACTTCTATTTTTGATCTTGTGCATACAGATGTTTGGGGTCCATATAGACTACCAACTCATGACAACTAGAGATATTTTTAACCTTGGTGGATGATTTTTTTGAATATATCTGGACTACTAAGGCAGATACTATTGTAGTATTGAGGAACTTTCTTATAATAGTGTCAAATCAGTTTAGGACTGCAGTAAAGTGCCTCATAACTGACAATGGCACTGAATTTGTGAATGATCAAGTTCATTCTCTGTTGTAAAGTCTGGGAATCCTTCATCAAAGTTTTTGTGTTTATAGACCCCAACAAAATAGGGCGATGGAGAGAATAATACTATCTTAGATATAGCTAGAGCACTCAGATTTCAGCCTTTATACCTCTGAGATTTTGGGATGAGTGTGTGTCCACAACAATGTACTTACTGAATAGATTGCCTGCTGGACTTCTTAAAGGCAAGTCTCTATTTGAAGCCCTATTTCAGAAGATACATTTTATACAACATCTTAGAGTGTTTGGTAGCTTATTCTATGCCAAAAGAGTGCAGAAAGGGGATAAGTTCAGTCCCAGGGAAATCCCAGCAGTCCATATGGGATACTCATTTTCTCAAAAGGGCTACATTCTCTATGATCTACACTCCAAGGGCTTCTTTGTCAGTAGAGATGTTGTCTTCAAGGAAGATATTTTTCCTTTTAAGCATATGCAGTCTGGAGTCTCTCCTTTATTCCTTATACTAGAGTTCACAGATGCACAGATTAAAAAGAGTACTAGTCACCCTGCATCAGTCTCAGATTTGTCTACTCCAGGTATTCAGTGTTTGCCTTCTTCTCCTAGTCCTCTATATGATGCTCATTCTGCACCAGGCCCCTCTATTTCTTCTTCTGCACCCCCTTCCTTTCCTGAAGGGCTCTGAAGATCTTCTAGGCCTTCTAAACCTCATATTGACTATGTAGTATAGCCCAAGAAAACCACTTGTCACTATCATGTATCACATCATGTCTCTTAAAATCAGCTGTCTTCAGACTACAGGGCTTCTCTTACGACATATTCAGCTATTGTTGAACCTAGAACTTTCAAAGAAGCCAGTGCTGATCCAAAGTGGATTAAAGCTATACAAGCTGAGATTTCAGCCTTGCAAGACAATAACACCTGGTCCTTAGTTGATCTGCCTCAAGGGAAAGTTCCTATAGGGTACAAGTGGGTCTTCAAGGTTAAGTATAAGTCTAATAGTGGGGTGTAAAGAAATAAAGCTAGACTAATAGCCAAAGACTACAGTAAAGAAGAAGGCATGGATTATACAGAAACATTCTCTCATGTGGCCAAGATGGTCACAGTGAGGGTTGTAGTTGCTCTAGTTGTTGCCTCTAGCTGGTACATTTTTCAGATGGATGTCCATAATGCATTCCTTCAGGGTGACCTTCTAGAAGAGGTCTACATACAAGTTCCTGATGGCTTTTTAAGCCAGGGGGAGAATCAGAAGGTGTGTAAGCTACATATGTCTTTGTATGGATTGAAGCAAGCACCCATGCAGTGGAATCTTAAACTAACAGAGGCACTTCTAGACATGGACTTTGCTTAAAGTCACTATGACTATTCCTTGTTCACCAAAATGATAGGTGTTGATCTTGTGATCATCTTAGTCTATGTGGATAATTTGTTGGTAACTGGCAGCAATTTACTTCTCATCCAGCAGGTCAGAAAGGATTTGCAGGAGAAGTTCAAAATGAAGGATCTAGGGGAGCTGAAGTATTTCCTTGGTATTGAATCCTCAAGATTTCAGGAAGGTATTCTAATGTGCCAAAGGAAATATGTTGTTATATCCCATGTTTTCATACGTGAAAATATACCATAAGTAAATTGATGAACGCTCGAAAATGAGATATTACATCCCGTATTTTCATACGTTAAAGTTTCATCGTAAGTTAATCGACGTAAACTCGGGAATGAGATTATTTTGAGATTATAAGTATTATGATATTTCAAACAAGTGATGAGTAAATTCGGGAAGGTGAGAGGGTAAGCAAATCGAAAAAAATGAATTTTGTCGAAGTTTGACATTTTGAGATAAAATACGGTCCAAGCTACAATACCCCATATTTGTGGACTAGTGCCATACAAGGTACCACATGACCATGATAGTAAGATGTATAAAGTGTGTTAAAAGTGAGTAGTATTTTAAGTAAATTGAGATAATTCTTAATTATGTGGGTAATTGATTAATTATTGACTAATGGAAGATTAACTAGTTAATGAAGGAATTGGTGGGTGATTAATTAAGGCTTTGGATAAGCCTTAACGTGGCAGCCCATAATGTCTTGATCAAATCATATACAATGAGTCTTATTCTATGAAGCAAGATGCACATTAAGAGAGATTAGGTGGCATAATTTGGACATTATTTGGCCAAGTCATCCTTATCAAAGTGGGCCCCACACCACCAAGACTTAAAAACTTCTCTAATTCACAAAATGAAGATACTTATATCTTCTAAGTAACAGATGAGCTTTAGTAAGAAAAGTCATACAAGAATGTGATCAAATTCACAAAAATGGAGATGTTTTACATCTACCAAGTAACGATCTTCAGCAAAGGAATTCATGGGAAGTTATATGACGTAATAGTTACGGGATTTACAATTCTAAGGGAGCCCGGTATAATCTTTCTCAAGAACATCATACGGATTTTCCTTACTTCGTTTCGTCGTTATGTGTTTTATCACAAAAGACGTGTGTTAGAGGGATTGTCAAGAGAATCGGCTGAGGTATGTTAAGGCTATCTCTTCTTTCTTTTTTGGCATGATCCATACGATACAAACGAAACGAGTAAACGCATAATTTTTATAAATGACTCTATTCATAGAAATACTATGTGTGTCTATATTCTTGATTCCCCATGTGAATTATTATTATATCTTCTGTTCATGGGTCTCAGAAAATACGTATTTGATAAAGTTTATCCGAAAGGCATATTGATTTTACGATAGTCCGAGAAATCTTATTAATGTATTTCTTATGCATTTCATGCATTTATACATGTACATTGACCCATGACCAGATGGCGTTATATACGCGTATATTTTATGTATATGGGATATGGGAAAAGGTTATGGCGTTATATACGCACCACCACCTGATCAGCTGGTATACGTTGATGATTTGCCCACAGTGGCCGAGATGATATGATGGGATGCTGTCAGAGGCTTGATGATGTTATGAATGCATATACCTATGCATGGTATGACATTATAAACATTAAATGATTCATAGAGCTATTCAGACGTACATGTCGAGTCTTTTACTCCAGATTCCTCTCATGTCTATTATTTACTGATTTTCATCCCTTACATACTCGGTACATTATTTGTACTGACGTCTCTTTTTCTTGGGGACGCAGCATTTCATGCCTGCAAGTCCCGAAAGACAGGTTGAGAGTCCTCCAAGTAGGCTATCAGCTCAGCGGAAGGTGTTGTACGCTCTATTTGCTCCGGAGTTGCTTATTTGGTCAGTATAATTTGGTCATATATTGATTAGTATGGCGGGGCCCTGTCCCGACCTTTATGGTATTTATCTACTCTTAGAGGCTTGTAGACATATATCATGTACGTGAAAGATTGTATGGCCTTATCGACCTATGTTCAGTATACGAGTGATTATTTTGGTCTTATAGGCTCGTATGTCATATGTATAAGTTTGTATTACATGTTGGATCATCCAATGTTGAGTGTTTCCTCATGTTTTATTCTACTTATCTCACGACAGCCTCTCCGGCTCATTTACCTATGATAGTATAATACGAAAGATACGTTACATTGGTACTCGGTTGAGTAAGGTACCCGGTGCCCGTTGCGGCCCATCGGTTTGGGTCGTGACATATGCCCTAGAATTGGTATCTGAACTTGGCTTACCAGCTCCTACACCTCTTTAGTTTAATTAGAAACTCACTTCTGTTGAATTTGATCAAGTAGTAAAAGACAATGACTCTGATGATGTGCAAATTGAAGAGAAGGGAAATTGTCAAAGGTTAGTTGGGAGGCTCATGCATCTAACGATGACAAGGCCATATATAGCCTTTGTAGTTCATGTACTCAGTCAGTATATGCATGTACCTAAAGCTTCTCATATGGAGTCTGCTAGAAGAGTAGTGAAATACATCAAGTCTACACCTGGACTTGGTCTGTTTATGCCAACTGGAAGTTGCAATCAACTAATAGCCTCTTGTGATTCTGATTGGGGAGCATATGTGGAGGTCAGTCACTGGATATGTAGTTAAATTTGGAGAAGCGTTGATCTCATGGAAGTCAAAGAAACAAGGGACAATATCTAGGAGTTAAGCTGAGGCGGAGTTTAGAAGCATGGCAACCATAGTAGCTGAAATTGTGTGGCTGGTAGGACTATTCAAGGAGTTAGGAGTGGATATTGTCTTGCATGTGCCTCTACACTGTGACAGTAAAGCAACAATCTAAATTGTTGCACATCTAATATTTCATGAACGGACTAAGCACATAGAAATTGACTGTCACTTTATAAGAGAAAAGCTAGTGTAAGGTCTAATTCAAACCTAGCATGTTGGAACAACAGAACAGATAGCAGATGTGTTGATAAAGGCTCTGTGTAAACCACAACATGACTACTTACTAAGCAAGCTGGGAATGAAGAATGTATTTTATCTCTATGCTTGAGAGGGAGTGTTGAGAGCTATAGGTCCCACCTATTTAACTAGACTACAGTTAGACGAGTAGTTAGTATTACACTATACTATAGTAAGTTGTTGAGTTAGTTATAACAGACACATGTATATATAGTAGTTTAGATACTCAGATCAACACAACAATGATGAATTATGTTTTGTGCATTGCTACGAAGTAACTGCTTCCTTCTTCTTTCTCTCATTTCCTTTTTCTCACCGCCATAGCTGAAGCTTCGTGACAAAATATGTATAAATACTTAATTTTAAATTTAATAACTATGACGAGCAACAAGTTGCATAACAAGTTCAGAACTCATAAACTTTAAATTTTGATTTAGATATGAGTGCATGTGTTGTAATTTTATTGAGACAGCAAATCAATTTGCATGACGGTCCAAACAAGAATATTGTAGCTTAATTAAAGCAATGCGGTCTGATTCTTTTTGGATCGGCTATTTCCAAGTGGCTACACATCTTTCGATTTTCATTCTTTGTGGTCGTACGTATACTACATGTTTATATGAATTTATTTTTCTTTATTTACGATTTTAACCTTAGCCTCAGCCAAAAGGATAAGAAAAAGGTACTATATAGTATTACTATATATATAATTTATACGAATGTGGCATGCAGTTTACTCTCTTTAACCAAACACAAGTATGAAATGTGACTTTTCTCTTCTAAAAACTTAGGATCAAAATGAAAAATCACTGTAGTGATCTTTTGGATATACCTTTGGCATTGCTTAGGGAGCAGATTAGAGATTGTAGATGCACATTTACATTAAATCAAAATTTGCTTTGTATATAAGGCGTCAGTACTAATATATCACTATTTTTTAAAAAGATAAATATATAAATAAAATTTTTACCGAACTTTACGAGCGTCGATGACTCCATATTTTATAATATAGGTCGGCCTCTATTAGGGAGTATTATCTATTTCTCGTAGTCAACCTTATTTAAGTTGTTCATCGTATTCACGCCATCCTTTCTATCCATCTTAATAACCTATTTAATTTATTGAAGTGCGTTTCCCGTACAAGATATTAAAAAAATGGTCCAAGCTTACTTCTCCTGAAGAATATACGGTAGTTATTGATTACTCATTTAGAAAAAAAAAAGAGATAAATAATAATTTAGCGAAGTACTTCTTCTCAGGGTTAATTTCACTGATGGTTATTCAACTTATCATTTATTTCACAAAAATCACTTATCTATTTTTCATCACTAAAAAGTCACTCAACTTTACTTTTGTAACTTAAAAGTCATTTTAGTTCAAACCCTATAAAATATCCTATAAAAATATGACATAACGTTAAATTTAATTAAAAAATCTAATTATAGTGCCACATAAGCTTAAATGGACCATACCCAATTTAGACCCATTTCATCCACTATTTGATTTGACTCATAACTCAAATGGGTTTAAATATTTTGAACATTAGACATGGCATGGACCTATAAAATATCCAATAAAAAATATGACATGTCATTACATTTAATTAAAAAATCTAACAATAGTGTCACATAAGCTTAAATAGACCATATCTAAGTTAGACCCATCTCTTCCCGATTTGACCTATAACCAAAATGAGTTATTAATATTTGAACAATTAACTGGACTAGCACTTTGATTTTGTGGTTAATTTGTAGAAAAAGAAGTCTAAGAAATTTAAGAAAAATTAAGTTTTTTTAATTTATATTTAAGTTTTGGTTGTACATTTACGGTCAATGACACAATACGTTATCTCTTTCTTTTGTCCAAACTATCGCTATAGGTTGTCTACGATTACGGTGTGTATTGAAAACTTCTACTATGCAATTTCATTGTGGGTGTTTCTTACTGAGCAGTATTTTTGTCTGTTAGTATTGATTAATAAGCAATATTTTGATTTTAATGGAATAGTAATTTGTAAAAATAGGTTCTTATTAGCTTGTTATTCTTGTCTTTTAGTGGTACATTTATATGTTATGTGAAATTGATATGGTAGTATATTTTAACTTCATGAAAAATTATAAAATGATATGACGGATGCAAAAACTGGTTTTGTACTAGTTCTGTTTACATTTTTAATGAAATTATAGGTGGTGGCATTAAGGTTATTACGTAACAAATAAAGTAAGATATTTTTACACAAAATAATTGTTCTCTTCTTTTCCTTCTAATGGTCAAAATATTAAAACCTATTTGGGGTATGGGTCAAATCAAATTGTGGATGAAATGGGTCTAAATTGGGTATGGTTATCTAAGCTTCTTCTTTATTTCCTGCTAATTTATCTGCTAATGTCTATGGGGCACTATAATTAGATTTTTTAATTAAATTTAATGTTATGCCATATTAGGATATTTTATAGGTTTTGAACTAGAATGACTTTTTTAAGTTACAAAGGTAAAATTAAACAACTTTTAAGTGATGAAAAATAAATAAGTGACTTTTTTGAAATAAATAATAAGTTGGATGATCAGTGAAATTAACCCCTCCTTCTTATTAATGTTACGAAATAACTTTATAGTGAATATAAGAAAACTTGCATGACGGAATAAGTTTTTTTTTAAAAAAAATTGTGTCTCTAACTTCGTATCAGTATTGGATATCGGTTAATAAAGTTAGGTTTTAATGAATATATACTTGCAATATAATATACTCTACCAGCTTCGTTCTTTTTGTTGATCAGTTTGACTAAGGATCTTTTAGTGGTAGTCATGACATCTAAATTCAAAGCATATGAATATGAAAATAAACGGCATCCAATTTAAAAAAACTCCAGATCGAGTGTACACATGTGACGCCATTAAAGTTGGCATCTAGCTTTGTTTTGCTGTCATCTTCTGATAATTGTGCTCTCGTTGACTTCTTATTTATTTTTTTGAATCATATATTGACGGAATCTGCCCTTAGCCCACCCAGATTCCCTTGAATCAGGGAAATGAATTTCTCTTTTTTCCATTTATTTTATGTTATTATAGTACAGAATATTGGCTTGAGATTAGGTTATACGAAATTGACATAGTAGTAGTTGTTGTTTTACTATTTTTAAATAAAATTAAATCATTTATTCTTAAACAAGTAGTTTGCAAAATGAAATATTTAGGCATTTGAAACTTAACATGGTCTTCCTAGAATTTGTTTTCCAAAGCTTTAATTTTGAAACGTAACATCACTTTAGTTAGTAATTTGATCACGTCTATTTATATTGCTAATTATAATTAAGGACCAACCAAGCTGGAATATAGTGTGAGCATAATCTCAAGGCTGCCGCACACGAAATATTGAGTTACCACCTACTTGCAGCGTATAGCTCTTTGTATTGCAGTTTTGCTTTTTCACAATTAGGTAGCAAGTTTACAAGTCAACTTCTCAAGTGAAAAGTGGAGATCAAATTTGTATTTCTTTATTCTAAATCAGATATTTTGAATTCGAGCCTTGGATATAAAGTTGTGTTTGTTAGGAAGTGTTTTTACTCCCAAATATAATTTTTTTGTACGAATCCGAATTTAAGCTCAATACGAATAATGGACACAAAAAAGATTGCAATATGAAACCGAAATGTGGAAAATTGCGTGCGTTCATACTCCGTAAAGAGCATAGGCGGAATTTTCCAAGAAGTTGTACAAGTAATGACGTTTGAGTGTGGGGAAATCTTGAATTAGGCTCGTCAGTCATCATCTCAAAGTAGCAGTTGCTTTTTAGTTTATGTTCTTTATCCCAAATTCGCTAGTCCAATTGGGAGTTAAAAAAACAACCAACAAATATTCTTGATGCATTTTATACTTGTCAAAATAAATCAGTTAAAATTGAAGGGAAAAAAAAAGGAGAGAATTGTTAGTTGATACTCAACATACTTCTCGAAAATTGAAGAAAGAAATTGTTTAAGAGAAAAAGGGAGCCGACATAACATTTTGCCAAAAAGGCCGTTTGCTCCATTTTGGTTTTGTTATACTAAGGACCGTTTATCCATTAATTTTTTTTTTTGATTTGTCCATCAAATTTTGAAAGTTTTTAGAAATTTCAAAATTTTCAGATTTTTTTTTTCCACACTCACAAAATTGCAATATTTTTTCAAGTGAAATGCATATCCAAATATAATTTCAGATTTCAAATACTATTTTTTTCAACAATTATAATTTTTATGTTCAAACGCCTAATAATATTTTTGGTTTAAAAGTCAAAACATCCACTACCTGCACAAATGATTTTTGAGTAAAAATTATATTAGTCAGGGTCAAGATAACGTGCTAATTGCAAAATTAACTTTAGACTAGAGTTCTTGTATTCTAAAAGATAGCGACAGCAGCCCTGCCCAAAAAATACGTCTGTATTGACTTTAATTTGCTACCTTTCGTTAATAACATCTATGTAAGTGATTGCTCATTGTATAGCGATTTCAAGGAATAAGAAGGAAAGAAATTTGTTTGTATATATTCACCTTTGCTCTAGTCATTCCCATCTTCCTATAGTATATCATTGACAGTTCAGTGTGAGTGTAACATATGCCTTTTTGTAAGTTTCCTCACATTGTCTCATTCTTGATTTTACTCTTTAATGACACAATTAATTGCCCACGAAAAAAAGAAAGAAG